ATTTATAATTCGATCGATGTTAAAAACTGAAAATTGTAACCACGATATTGGTTCTTCGGTAATAGGGATATAAAAAAAAAAAAAAAAAAAAAGAAGAAAAAAAAATAATAGGAGAGTAGTGTAAGGGGGGAAATAAAGTGCATTTTCATCTGTAGAAAAATCCTTTTTGGCGTTAATGCATTTTCTTCCTCTCTATCTTTGGCCGAACGAGCAAAGAAATTTCTCATCAAACTCGTAATGTGAATTTTAGTACAGCCGGGCGAAAGGTAAAAAGAAAAAGAAAATAAGATAGAAAGAGAAAAAGAAGAGAGGATCGTTATTACGATGCGAAGAGTCGTTTTGCATATTCGAACGGGAAAATGCGAAGAGGATGCAACGTTCCGATGTCGTCGTTGAAATAATATCGTTACAAGGCGTTATTTCCATGCAATAAAACAAAGTTTTGAGAAAGACGACGACAACGACAAAGAAGATAAGGAAGAATAAGAAAAAGAAGAAGAGGAAGAGGAAGAGGAAGAAAAGAGAAGAAATCGACTTTAGCGTCGAGCGCTTCGCTGTTTTACATCTTTCGATTAAAATACGAGATGGAGCATTGTCTCTCTCTCTCTCTCTCTCTCTCTCTCTCTCTTTCTCTCTCTCTCTCTCTCTCTCTCTCTCTCTAACAATAAAAGATGAAACGAGAAAGAGAACTTTGTGGTGGTGAAATTGGAAAACGAATAGCCGGAACGTTTACATGGAAGTTTATGAGCCATCGTTTGTAGACGATCGTATAAAAAGAAGAGAAAAAAAAAAAGAGAAGAAAAAGAGAGAAAAAGTAGATAGAGAAAGATAGAAATAGAAAAAAAGGAAAAATGTTAAAACCAAAAAATAAAAGAAAGGGAATAAAAATTTCGTTCGATAAACATTTATATATTGCTCGTTGATTGTTTGGATGGACGAACAGAATTAGCTGGAAAAATAATATCGTTGTTTTATTATTTCATATTCTGATTTTTTTTTTGTAAATACCCCCTTTACCCTATCACCTTCACCCTCTCTCTTTCTCTTCCTCACTTCTTCCTTTCTACACTACTTTCACCTCTTGTTCTTCCTGCCTGTCTGTGCTTATCTCTTTTTCTCCCAGAACAGAATATCGGTGCATCCACAACATCACGATGCCTGACCTGATAATTGGAAGCGTTCAATTAGCGTGCCTTAATTGTAGAATTGTAATTGTACCGCAACATAGTAGTCGTCGATTCTCAAACTACAATTAATGGGTTTCACCTTTCTAATTAACGAGGAACGATGCTTGCACGGGTATCGATTTGTACAATACGATAGATGAGCACGTGAATTGGAGATAGATGAACTGAGAGATAGATAGATAGATAGATAGATAGATAGAGAGAAAGAAAGAGAGAGAAAGGGAAAAGATAAAGGGAAGCATCGAAAAGAGAAAAGGGGTACCGTGGGACCCGTACAAATTGTATTACGTTAACCTATCTCTATATGATGAAATCCAACGTAAAATGATGATAGCCATTCATTTTCATAAAATACGCGAATTCAATTCAATTCAAATTTTGATTAAATTTAATATGAACAAATGGAATAAATATTGTATATTATTTGAGAATATCTAACGAATTGTTTGGATTTTTGATTCTACGTTTGTTACAACAATTGTCGCGTGACATCATAGCGATAAAATTGAAATCATTTTCTTCGCAAACGAACAAAAGGTTAATAATCCTTTTCTGTATACCATGGTAAAAGAAAAAAAAAAAAAAGGAGAGAAGGTAGAGGAAACATTGAAAAAAGTGCTTTACTTCATTGGCTCAGAATTCTTATTGGAATTCGATATTCTAGCTTGGTAGGTTGGTAAGTAGATAGATAGAGAATAAAAGAGGACATGAAAAGATATAACTTGTACTAGTAGTCACGTGTACTACACTCACTCACAGGGATGAGATGGAATACGTAGATGACTAAATACAATAGAAGAGAGATGACGAGACAAAATACAAGCACGTGGAAGGAAGCCAGAAAATCAGGAAATGTTAAAATCGAAGTACCCGCTTTTCCTTAGAAAATGCAATTTATCGTAACTGCGTCTCGCCACCCACTTTTACCTCCACCTCTCGTCTTCTAATTCTCTTTACCTATTTCTATTTATCTCTATTTCTTATTTTCTTCGCTAAATCGTCGTACCTTTTCGTTTCATCTTTCTCTCTTTCTCTCTCTCTTTTACTGTTATCTCGTTAGAAAAACTAAAAGTTCCTTTAAAGACAAAAGCTTTCATCCGTTCGCATTTTTTTTTCTCATCGATGTCATTACCATAAGCTTCGAAGGCTCCCCTTTTCGATGTTCTCCATCTATTTCTCTCTCTCTCTCTCTCTCTCTCTCTCTCTCTCTCTCTCTATTTCTCTTTCTTTTTTTCCTTCTCTTAGTAACTTTCTTTTGATATTTACAGCACGAATTTTTCGCATCGCCCGACGAGAAAGTTGCATATTTATTTTATCGTCTTTTTCAACGACTACGCTTTGGTTTGCTATTCAAGAGGGGATAACGTTCGAGATGCCTTATCCGATTTGAGGAAAGACGGATTTTATCCTTCCTTTCAACGTCGGTCGAAGAAAAATGATCAAAATCGTGCAACTTGTATTCAACTTGCATCTCTTTCTTTCTTTCATTCTTTTTTTCTCTCTTTATTTTTTTCTACATTTTAGAATATATATATATAGATAGATCTACTGCAATAATTAATGAAAAAAAAAACAAAAAAGAAAAGAAAAACCAAATCTTTCACGATAATTGTATAAAGTAGAATGCAATTTTATATTTCTCTTTTATCTTTTGTTCGTAGATCTAGTTGAACTAAATTCTAACAATAATTCGTAATCCACATTGCATTTTTATCGGGCAGAGTAAAGAGCCTCGACCCCTTTGAAAAGTCCCTTTAATATCTTTTTTATACCTTCACGAGCAATTTGCGCTGACGTAATTCGATGGACAACCAATATATTATACGACACACTTATTAGTGTTCTTTCTTTGAGCAACGTTCTTCCATCGTTCGTTCATTCTACATTAAGAAAAATCGATAACACTCGAGACACCCTCTCTTACTATCTTACATCATTACTTCATGATACGGGATCGATTTATAAAACACAAAAGAGAGAAAAATAAATATAGAGGAACCCCCACCCCCACCCCCCTAGGTTATTAGACCTTTGTCTAAAAAGCAAGACTTAAAGGAAACAACTTGGAAAGAAAAACTTGCAAAGGAAAAAGAAAAAGAAAAAAGGAAAAGAAAGAAAAATGTGCAACAAAAATTGCGTGTATAAAATCTAGAACGACATCGATCATTTATGCAATTAATATCCTTAAAGAAAATGTTCTTCTATTAAAAATAACAGGAAAAAGAAGAGAATAAACTAATTAACGCGAAAAACATGATCGTTTAATCCGAGATCGATTAAGAGCGTGCAAACATCCATTCCCATTATTGTTTCATATCGATCAAAAAAGTAAACGATGTTAGGGTTTTGGGGTTTTAAAAAGAAAAAGATGATTCAACGAGAATAACGAAGGAAACCTTTCGAGGAGAATTTTCTATTCTTTCCTTTTCTTTTCTTTTCAGCACGTTAATAAAGACGTAAAAGATATTTGTTGATGGGATAAAAGTTAGTCTATCTCATTGTTAACAGGACAAACGTTAAATTATTCGTTGATTCGCTTCCAAATATCCCTCCATTGCCATTCCACTCACCATTTCGACGACCATTTGCTAACGTACTTCTTTTGTTACACGCTTCGATATCTCTCTCTCTCTCTCTTTTCACCCTTTAACTTGGTAAATGCCGAGCAGAATGTTACGTAGTTTTGGTAATGGAGAATCGTCGTTGAGAGCAGTGTCCTCGGGGTAGCTAAAGGAATCTTCAACCCCTTCTTTTTCCTTATCCCTCTTCTATTCTTTTTTCTTTTCTTTATCAAATGAAATATAGAAAGATCCGAGTGGACTCGTGCCAGGCACGATCACCAACGAACGAATTCTTACGACGATCTTTACTTTTTATACGACTAGAAATTATTGTTATATCCTTGCTTCGTGATCACTTCGTTATAGTTACGTTTTCAAACATTTTAAGAAGAAAATTTCTACAGAATGTTCTTAACAAGTTTCCTGTTAATCTTTAAAATGTCATTCGATAAACGTTTTTATTCTCAGGTTTTTCTAGGATTTTTTTTCTTGTAGAGTTTTGTCAGGATTTTTACAAGTTTGCGTCAAATTGGAACAAGTATTTAGCACATACAAGGCTAAAGTAGTGACAAGGGTGTAAGGGAGGGGAACGTCACCTTTTTCATTTCCTATTTCAGAATATACAAACTATAACTACTATTCATTTTTTCTAGCCTTTACAACGTGGAAGTTTGGAAGATTTAGTTTTTATAGCCAAATGGTTGAGATATTGTGTGCACGTGTTTGTGCACAGTACATAATGGGAAGATTATTTAATGACTGTACGAACATACACATCCTGTCGTGGTTTGTTTCACTTACAACAGCTTGTGATTTTTTTCTTTCCACCCTTTTCCTTCCTCCATGCTTTAAATACTGCTAACTGAAGCATATGATTGACCAAAACCCGCTGGGCATTCTATAGAATACTCGGATTCTTTACATTTATCGTAACATATATATAAATATTCAAATAAGTAGCAACCCGATCTAATGTCATTTACAGCCATTGCATTCACAGAGCGTGCATATACGTTTTGATAGGGGGATGAAAAAAACCAGAGTTGGTTTTGCTTGTGAAGGGATTAAATCCAAAACGAAACTACAAAACGTTTTGGTTTGGAACGATTAAACGAAATGAACTCAATGATTGACGCTAAATGATCAAAGTAATATTTGGAAAGGTTTTGTGTGTGTGTTGGTAAATACGTTTGTTCCGTGTATATGTGTACGTGCATGTATTCAGAGTATAATCAATCCTAGGTAAATCGATTATGACCAGACGTACAATACCGTTTAAGATAATTTGACGTTTTAATGTCAATAATTAAATATTTCTCGATATTAAACATTTATCGTTAATTCTTATTTTTTATGTTTATGATAAAAACAGCCTAATATTAAACAAAACAAAGAATAACATTGGACAAACTTGTAACAATGTATTCGTCGAACGAATGAATATTGAGCAGGTAAATTTTTTCATTCCGCTAAATTGCATCGAATAGTTGTAAAGAGCAAAAGAAGAAATAAAAAGAAAAATAAAAAAATAAATACATGTGTTAAAAGAAGAGAGGAATAAAAGGAAAAACAAATAAAAATTTTACTTACATCGCACCGACGTAAAGGGCGTCCCTTTTACTATCAAGGTAGAGTGTCCTGTAGTAGAGCATACCGCAGCTGAATTCCCGTACGTGTTCTGGAAACAAAGAGAAAAAAAAATCCAGTTGAAAAATAAATAAAATAATTAAATTCGGACGTCTCGGAAAAGACCGACCGTAGTGAAAATTCATTTTCTCGAATATTCGTTCGGACAGGGGCAAGGGGGGGGGGGAGAGGGATATGAAGAATAAAACGGGGTGGTGGATGAAATCGCTAGATTTTCATTAGGACTTTTACAATAACGTTGGTGGAGACGACTCCACGGTGTTCTGTTCCGAATGTAAAACTCGTTACGAAAGTTGACTTTTGAGCTGACCGAAATGCAAAACACACATTGCCGACTCTAGACGTGTATTTCTTCTTCTTTTTTTTCTTTCTTTTTTTCATTTTTTTGTCTATTACCGATTGGTCAAGAGTAGTTGGTTATTTCACAGCACGCGAAAAGGTTTCTAGTAAAGCGACAAAAATATAAAATAACCAAATGAGCAACATTAATTTAAAAAAGAAAATAAAATAGAATCATTAATAACCAAAATTTATGTTCACTATTCTCGATTACGTTCAATGAAATGAAACCATCCCTTAGACATTACCGAAACGACAGTAGTTCAAGCCAGCCGTTAGCTTTTCAACCACTATGTCTCTATCTATCTATCTATCTATCTATCTATCTACCTATCTATCTGTCTCTTTTTCTCTCACTATATTTCTCTCCTTTTCTTTTGAGCTTTTTCTCAAAGCCGACACTGATCTGCTTAACATATGAAAGAACGCCGCCCCTTTCTAAATACACTCATTCCACTCTAGACTAACAGAGCGCGAACAATACTATATTTTATACGGTATCAGAAGGGGCTGACGTCGAATGAAAGGGGTTGTTCTCCCATAGCTTCGAAGTAGAGAAAAAGAAAGAGATAGAATGAGAGAGATAGTTCATCTGTCTCTCTTACATTTCTACATTTCCCTATCTATCCGTCTCTCTTGTACTCGTTGCTCACTGCAACTATTGTCCCATCCTTCACTTTTCTTCTCTCTCTCTCTCTTTTTCTATCTCTTCCTCTTTCTCTTTTTAACTTTAGCAAACGCACGAATCGCAAAAAGCCGATCTCGCGCTTTATCTACCTTCGAAAGGGTGCTGCCATTGCATCGTCCCTTTTCCACGGTCCCTTTAATATCGGACTTATTCAAAACGAAGTGCTGTTACGGCTCGTTAGATAGGCCCACCCGATATGGTGAAAGTATTTTCTATGGGTATACGAAGAAAGATTTATAGGTATTCTACTTTACAATGATTTAAACGCATTTTCCTATTACAAATGCTTGGTTTAATTTGGATTAATTTGTTAATTTGGATTACATATATTACATTATTAACATTTTAATATTTTAATATCGATCATGATTTAATTATAAGTACCAATTTCAATTAATTTGATCAAAGAAGTTTTGAAAAAAACAGCAGTATTATAAAATATTAGTTTTACCCCATTTAATTAAAAATATTTTACATTTACGTTAGATCGTATTACATTCACGAGATAGACTAACGTCGAATATTCATATGAATTAAATCCAAACATGAATGTGAACATTTGTTGAAAATATATTTAATAGAAAAAAGGAAAAATAGACGGCAAGAGAGAGAGAGAGAGAGAGAGAGAGAGAGAGAGAGAGAGAGAGAGA